TAGGTTGTCTTTTTCCAGGCCCTTGAGGAGGGGACACTGCTGAATCAACTGTGGAAACAGCCCACTCTTTGATTAAAGGCCTCCTCAAATAGGGATAGAACTGCAAAACATTTGGGAGGTATGAATAGTTTATCAGGAGTTTCCCAGTAAGCATAAAAGACATCTGGGAATAGTGTGTGCATGGGAAATATTTTTGCAGTCTTGGGGCCTCTTAGGGATCCTAGACTGTAACTAGCACTGGTGGAAGTTACAGGCTGCTCCTCCTCCAACAAATCCCATCAATAGTACATTATAGAGCATCATGTGTGGGAAAGTGCAGGCTTACCTGAGCAGTCTTCTAGCAACTTGCTTCTGAGATCGGGCCTGTCACCCCCCCACATCTGCTCCTCCTTACTTCTCCCCGCCTCCCTGTGCCGATCGTGGATGTGGGCTGGCGGTGAGCGTGAGGCGGGGAGGAGGTGTGGAGCGTGGATGCGGGTCTGGCAGCAGCGAGGAGGTGCGGCGTATGTTGAGCCGTGAACGAGGCCAACTAATCGCAAGACGATTAATCGATTATTGAAAACGTTGACAACTTTCTCAATCGATTTAGTCGTTTAGTTGTTGCAGCCCTAGATGTCTGATATGCCTTTTAGGTTAGCGCATGTTATTGCTTGGTGACTCAGCTACAATTGTATTTCAGCTTATTATTTCAAAATGTTTTGCCATGTGCATTCAAAAGTGCACATTAGGATAACAGGAGGATTAACAGGAACTTTACTTGGATTAATGTGCATGGCAAGCTAGGACTGCATCGTATGCATTGAACACCATTATAATCAGCTACATAGTGTCAGAGATCATGTGTGCTCACATAGACATGCATGAGATCCAGTTGTACCCTTACAGTTTATCCCTGCTCCTATTTATTTTATTTATTAATTCATCCTCACTATGCCATCCAACAACAATCACATGTTCCCTACACGAAAATCACAAAGAGAAAATGGCACAGGGTGCTCGAAGGCACCCATAAGATAATACTTCCATCAGACAGTTTTATAATGGATAAAAGTAAAACGGCCAGCACGCCAAAAGTCAGATCTCACAGATTTGCTGAGATGTTTGATACAATCACATCAAATAAGATCAGATCATCAATGTCAGTGAAACTTTGCAATCTGACTTTTGGTGTGCTGGCCATTGTTGCTTTGTGGATTCTCATGGTATCTGTGTTGGCCATGCACCCTCTGCAAAGTGTGAAAGGTGAAGGAAGGGGATTGTTTTTTTCAGTTTTATCATTGAGTCTCAGGGCCCACTTACACTTCTCTGATGAAGGATGTTGTGTTGACACGCACGTTGCCAAAATGCATGCTATATATGTCCGCAAAGTATGTTAACATGCGCATATTAATAGAATGCACAACGCGTGAATGGGCCCTTTGTGTCACCGTATGCTGTGCTAAATAAAGCAGACTTTACAGTATTCACTAATAGCACATGGCTTCCTGTTTCCTTTCAATCTACTACTGAATGTAGTACGATATGTGGAGAGTATGGTTTCTCAGCAACTGAATTATTCCAGTCACTGCTGGGCACATAGAAAACAATTGTTTCCTATGTGCCCTGTTCATACCACAAAAAAACCCACAATGCAGGTGTGACACAGTGTGCTGTGGAAAAAAATTCAGACATGGACCACACCAAAGGTCACTGGACAGCAGCACAGTGCTGTGCAGGGACCTGGATGGAGTGGACACTTTGTACACTCCAAATACATTTAAAAAAAAGTAAACCATGTGATGTGCTGAGACAGCTCTTCACACCACCCACCGGAGCACACATGCCTGGCTGCTGAAACAGAGCATTTTAGTGGGCATGCTAATGTGAACGGGGCCACAGGGCTCAGTCACACCATGTACAGTAACATGTGTTGCCGCACTGGATGAACGCATGTCGCTGCAAGGGCACCTACAAAACATTGGTTTTCGATGTGCCTTTTTCAAACCACAACACTGGAGATGCATCAAGTTGTATTAAAATGCAGCATTTTAGCAAAACACACATGAACACGTGTTATCTCAGTCACACAATGTTAACAAACTCAGGGCATGCACGCCCGAATCAGGCCATTCCTGGGAGGGACAGGTGCACATCTGTGCGAGTCCGGGTGTCTGTACTCTGAAGCAGATAGGATGGATCCTGATGCTGTCTGTACTTGAATGCAGACAGGATGTATCCCGTCTTTGTTCGAACACAGACACCCGGACCCGCACGGCTGTGCAGTTTGGGTGTGCGTATGACAGCGTACAGCCGCTTCCTCCCACAGGGAAGAACAGGCTGCTACATGCAATCACATGCATCACCTGTCCCTCCCAGGAACGGCCCGATACAGGCATGCACACTGCATGGACGTGTGCACCCCGAGTTAACGCAGTGGGAATGAGGCCTAACACAAGCAAGGGGACTGCAGGAAAGAAAAATTATTATTTTGACCCTTCCAGGATATAGGACTAAAAAATGCTCCACAACTAATGACATTAAAAGAGAACTATGGGGTAAGTGTTTTTGCCCATAGTTCTCCTAAGGGTCACGGGAGGACATATACTAGCATCCTCCCGTCACCCAAAGCTCAGTATATCGTGAGCTACAGCTAGCGGTATACTGAGACCGCCGCAGCCGGGATGGATCCCGACATTACTGTTGAAATCCACCCAGCTGCATGATTGAGTTGGCTCTGCTTATCTAGAGGCAGAGCCAGCTGTGCCCGCCCCCTCCCCCATCTGTTCCGCCAGTCAGCGCTGGAGGATCGGAGCGGGGAGGATCCGAGGGAATCGTGAGTGACAGTCACGGCTCTCTGCAGGGACATGCTCGGGAATTGAGCGAGCAATGGTATGTGTTCGCTCACTTCCCGATCTATTGAGCCGACCTGTGACAGTTTCATTGTCACCAGTCGGCTCGAACTATGAGGCTGAGTGATTTTCAACTGTAACGTGCATAAAAACAAATGTTGACACATGGAGACGCACATGTATTTTCAATGTGTAATATGGTGTGAAAGGGCCCTAAGTCCTTGTTTAAATCTGTGCACATGCCAAAATGTGTGTTATTTTGTAAGATTTATTGGTAATGGCACCCCAAGGCACCTTGCTGCACCATGTGCTTTCACTTGTGTGACATCACACCCAAAGAAATAATAACACCATGGGGGGGAATTTATAAAAACTGGACAAGACAGAATTTGGAGCAGTTGCCCATAGTAACTAACCATCAGTTTTTTTCAGTTAAAGGAGAACTATGGGGTAACCTTTTTATCTCATAGTTCTCTTTAGGGTCACAGGAGGACATATACTAACCTCCTCCCGTGACCCCAAGCTCAGTGTATAGCAAGCTATTGCCCGCAATATACTGAGAGCACTGCAGCCGGGATGGATAACAGACAATACTGTTGAGATCCACCCAGCTGGCTGATTGACAGCGGGCTCTGCCTATCTAGAGTAGGGTTGCCACCTGTCCAGGATTCACCCTGACAGTTCGGGTTTTGAATGCTGTGTCCGGGTTTCATGGCAGCAGAAACCCGGACACATGATGTCAGGCAGACAGGGGCAACCAAAATGAAGATAGGTGCTACTGGCCCCCCACCGAGAATAGGCTCAACTGTGATATTTACATATGAGTGTGAGGCGCTATTTACATATGAATAAGCCGTGACTCTTTCTCTCCAAAAAATGTCCGCGCGTCGCTAGTGTGTTCGGGTTTCGCTTGAAGAAAAGGTGGCAACCCTAATCTAGAGGCAGAGCCAGCTGTGCCCACCCCCTTCACTGTCCATTCCTCCAGTCAGTGCTGGAGGGGAGGGGTAACAGAGTTAGGCCTGGTTCACACCTCTACGTTTTGTAGCGCGTTCAACGCTCTACGAACGCTCTACAAAACGCTCAAACATGAAAATCCCATTGTTTTCTATGGGTATGGTTCACACCTTGCTGTATTTCAGCCCGTCTGAACGCGCTACAAAACGGCCTACGCCTGAAAAGGTACATGAGCTTCTTTGCTGCGTTTTTGTCGTGCGTTTCCATTGGGATACAGCCAAGTAGCCCTCGGAAACGCGCGTTTGTCGTGCGTTTTTACCGCAAATCGCGGTAAAAACACGCGCCAAACGCGCATATTCAATACGCCAGGTGTGAACAGAGCCTTGAGCGTTTTGTAGAGCGTTCATCGAGCGTAGAACGCGCTACAAAACGTTCAGGTGTGAACAAGGGCTTACTGCTATCTGCAGGGAGATGATTGGGAAGTGAGCAAGCGATGCTCACTTCCTAATCTATGGAGTCGACATGTGACAGGTTCATTGTCACACGTCAGGTCCAACTATGAGTGTAAATCACTCACCTCATAGCTTTCCTTTAACCTTTTGAAAATGAAAGATAGAAGCTGAATGGTTGCCACGGGCTACTGCTCCAGTCTTGATAAATTTACCCTATGTGTTTTGGCGCAGTACGTTTGGAAAACAAAAGTGCAGGGACAATGGTCATGTGTAGGGGAGCCCATTCAAATGACATGGCTAACCCATGGGTGAGCAAACTGCGGCCCTCCAGCTGTTGTGAAACTACAAATCCCATGAGGCATTGAAAGATTCTCACAGCCATAGGCATGACTCCCACAGATAGATGCATGATGGGATTTGTAGTTTCACCACAGCTGGCAGTTTAGTTTGCCCACCCCTGGTGTGATGCACACAAACAGCACACTGTCACACCCGCTCAAGTGTGTCATTTAAAATGACAGACAGGTAGCCATTTGCCATTATCTCATGCCTGCCATTACACTGCAGGCATGAGATAAGCAGCTCCATCTTCACAGCTGTAAGCTAATGATCTGATTACACAAATGAGACAACAGCTGATAGCAGTACAGAAAGGTGGGACTACTTTTATATAGATGGGAAGGAGGGGGATGGGATTGGGTCACATCGTGTCTATTCGCACACATGCCCCAGGGAAAACTAGAGAACAATGCCATTCTGTGCTTACCTTGGTCAGGTAGCTGCTGACCACCTCCTGAAAAGGATACGGATACACTTTCTTCACGTCCACCGCGACCCCCATGCTGCACTTACACCTTCTCTTCTCCCCTTGTCTGCCTTAAGGAGCCATGTTTTTGTAGCCCTCCCTTCGAATAACTTTATTGTTCACAGACAAAGTTCCTCGCACACGTGTGAAAGCTGGCGCGGTCACCTCTTACAATGTCACATTCTTGTAGGTCCGGTCGGCTGTGACACTAAGCCAGCTTATCTCCGGCTGGCACTACGGTTCTGTGTACATGTAAATTGTGGGAGGTGTTTAGAAGAAAAGTGTGAAAGGAGCTGACAGTCACTGCAACAGGAACATACTGTGTGCATATGAAGGCTCTTAAAGGGAGAGTATAAGTGTGTGTGTATATAGTGAGCAAATCCTTCATATAGAACTGGGTTCTCTTCTGTTTATGATGTTATTTGCACTTTCCTGTTTAATGTTTGTATAAGATTGCTGTTTTATTTATCAAATGTAGTTGTTTGTATGTCATAACAATGAGTCCCTGTTAATTTTGTCCCTTGTAGGACCCATTCACACCACATCCAGATCAGCTCCAGACTAGTCCGTTCCAGACTAGACCAGAAAAATACTGCACGTCTCATTTTGTCTGGTCTGGAATGCACTGGAACTGCGGGCAGGTACCCACCATTTTCCGGATCAGATCTGGTCTGGAAAAAGGTGTGAACCTGCCCTCAAAGGGAAGCGTGATAAAATGCTCAAGACAAGGAATCCTATTTGTCTAGTTGTTTTTAGCATGACAAAACACTCAAGACATTGCATATATTTCTAATAGGTTCAGTTTGCTGCAAGCAGAAAAACATGCACTCAAGATAATGGGCTTCCTGGTCTTGAGGGCCTCATTCATGAGCTGTTTTTGTGCTTTTGTCGCACTTTTTTTTTTTTGCGCAATTTTGCTTAGAAAAACCACACCGTTTTTAATGCATAGAGATGTCTATGGGACCAAAACCCCCAAAAATAGCTCCTGCGCCTTTTTGCGCGACAGGCGATTTTGCCCACGCGGCAAAACACAAAGGTGTGAACAGCCTCCATTGACTTTAATGTAAATCAGTGTTTTGCGCAATATCGCGCAGCTCAATCCGCGCGATAAATCGTCTAAGTGTGCACCAGCCCTGAGCGTTTTGTCACGCTTAGTTTTGATGTGTGAACGGAGCCTTAATTTGTATTGTAACTTCTTTAAGTGAGCCTGCCACTTGGACTTAAAGCCCATCTCTGGGGAAGCCAAAGAACTACCCTTGCAGTGGTGCTTCCCCTGCACTGCAAGGGTTAAGTGCTCATTTTTGTCTAGGGGAATAGAGTAAAGCACTTTTACTTACCTGATCTCTGTTCCTGCCATCTCCCTCAGGGCTGCAATATTGGTCCCCACAGCCTCTTCTCCCCTGGGCTCCGGTGGTCTAAGGACAACTGATGTCGCCATGATTAATGCAGAACCATAGACCAACATTAGACGTGAGAACGCTGAGGGACAGTCCACCAGGTTCACACCAATTTCTGGAGCGCACTGCGTTGTGATTTTCTGCGTTTTGCCGCGTTTTTGACACGTTCAATTGTGGGGCTTGCTGGGGGACCTCTGCAAGACCTACAGGTAGCCAGGAAAAGAGCAGCACATAAGAGACATGAACTTACCACCGTTGTCCTTTTCCGAGCTGCTCAAATGATCATAGCCAGGGACAACCTGGGCAGCAATGCCTCTCCACTTCTCTATCTTCCTATTATTGTTCTTATATTGGCCATGCCTTGAATCATACAGCTCTGGGCAGGCTTCCACAAGTTAGACACAGAATTGCGTGTCCACTTCAGCCATCATGGTTCCTATCTTCACAAATCTCTCTCTCCAGGGGTGATGAGATCATCCAAACCAGCCAAAAATAATGTATTTTTTCTCTGTTACTTTCTGGTGCGTTTTTGACGTGTTTGTGCGCGTTCCAAACCAGACAAAATTTGACATGCAGTATTTTTCTGGTCTGGTCTTGAAGTGATTGCGATTTTTGTGAACTGAGTCCAAGAAGAGCATAGGGAAACATTGGGGTGCATTTTAGGTCCAGAAACAATCTAGTCTGGATGTGGTGTGAATGGGCCCTGAGCGGCAGTGGAGAAGAGGAGAGTGCTGACTGCCATGGCGAGGGGGGTCAGGTTAGAAAAAAAATGCTTTACTCCATTCCACTAGGCATAAACAAGCATTTAAGCCTTGCAGTACGGAGTGGATGTCACAGCTGTGACATCCGTGTCTGTACAGTTTTTTTTTTTTCCTCCCCCTTGCGATGGAGGAAAACACGGAAACTGCCGGTCCCCATGTCTGTCTATGGGGAATCTGATGTAAATGAACATGTCCGTTTACATCAGATTACCCCCAATCCAGAACGATCTGGTCTGCCAAAATGGATCTCTGATCTGTTTGGGTCTCCAGACTAGCTCGGAGGAGGGGGCAACCAGGTGCAAACAGGCGCTCGTCCGTTCACACACGGCTGCCCATAGACTTGCATTGGGCATCCAATCGGGTCCACCTGAAAAACTGACAGGCTGTGTAAAAGGGGCCTTAATTGTGTATAGCTAGTTGAAAAATTAAAACCCATGTTATTTTTAATAGCATTAACCCTTTTATCTACAAGGGGGTGCAAATCAATTTTCTCATTTGTGGTGCAGCAATAGCAATTACAGCAATAGCATGTAGATCTATGAATGTTAGTTAACAATATCTCACTCCTGCAAAAGCACTGCTTGAATTGTATGTGTTCATGAGCTCTGGGTATGACCTGGTAGGGATGTTATGCCATGGTCACTGGTAAGGTCTTGGGATCTAAAGGGTCCATTCACAGCTATACAGTTTATTGCATGTATGTAGGTAAAGCTGGCCATACACTGCTCAAAAATTAGGAGTCTGAGGCAATCTGAGCCATTGGTGGCCCTATTAGTATCCCAGCTCAACAGAAGTAGAATTTTCAATAAACCTTTGTCAAAGGACCCACTCTGGAAATTATCGGCAGACTAGTGACTGCAGCCAAATTAGATGCAGGTGCTGTTTAGGTATTATGGAGCAAAGGATGCTAAAATACAATAGCCTATCGGGGAAGATTCAAGCATGCTGAACAAGAAACACCAGTACATGTGGCCAGCTTTAACCATTGCTTTCGGGCCTATTGATGACAGGTGTGAATCCAACCAAACACCTGGACTCACTGGTGGAACTACCACAATAGCCGCCCAGATGACTGATATGGGGCTCAGGACAGAGGAGAGCAGATAAATTGCTGAGCTCTAAGCCACTCAGAGCCGCAACTACCCCAAATATCACTTGACTAATGTGCAGAGGGCTACCTGGTAGTGTCTGCATCCGATTATATAGTTTCCACTCGCTGTTCCATGCATGACAGTGGACAGCCATATTCCTTATTCATTGTGTCAGCTGCTGTTAGTGAGAGTGGCACTGTGTCTCTTGCGAGTGACCTGTCTGCTCAGGTATGTCCTATTATACCAAGCAGCTGCAACGTTTCCAGCACAGGCTTTCACAATGCAGAAGGAGAGAGATGTGCCTACGATAAAAGGTATGCAGGAGCTAATGTTAGGAATGCAAAGTGCGACAGATGAATTGCCTCTTTTGGGCTGTAATCTAAAGGTGCCCATACACCTTACAACCATCGCAAGACTTTTGTCATTAGTCTTACGAGCAGGCCACAAACCCGCCGACAATCATACGATTCTCGGCGGGGTTTCGAGCCTGCTCGTAAGCCAAAAAACGTGCGACGAACCTTCCATACACCTTGCGATTATCGTACGATCGCGGGATTTCCCGCGATTATCGTATGATAATCGCAAGGTGTATGGGCACCTTTAGACCATCTGAACTCCCAGACTATTAGGCCCCATCCACACTTCAGCTGAGCATCTTGTCTTTTGAGTGTTTGTTACAAGTACTTTACGCTTGAGCGTTTAAAAAAAAAATGTTACTATTATTTTTAGCCAATGAAAAGCTAGTTACCAGACAAGAAAATGTGTGAAAAAATTGCATTGCACTCATATTTTAAAACACAAAACAGTCACCAGCACACCTGCCAGCTGGCCTGCAACAAAACAAATCACCCTGTCAACAGTATGTGTTAAAAGCAGAGGTTTTAGTTGCACAAACCTTTGGCCAAAAATATGTAAAAGCCACAGCGCCCCATCAAAGCACCTCTGTAAAGTGCGGTCCTAACTCTATTTATATGATTCTCCAAGTGGGGAGCATATTAATGCAGTCGACAAATTAAATGCAGATGTACCAGGAGGTAGCCTACTCCTCCTCAAAAGGTGCAGGAACCACTGGAGGCCCAGCAATCAAAAATGCACGCTGGGACCCCACATCAAAAATACTATTTCTAAGCACTACTATTAATGTTCATTGGGGCCGAAATGGTCGACTCTGTCCCAAAAGCAGATAATGTACTTTATTGTGCTACAGACATTTTGCTCCAGGTGACAGAACGGCCAGATATGAACAGGAGCCATTAAAATGGGATTTCTCCTGTTATATGTTGTAATGCTTAGGCATTTAACCTATAAACCACCAGTGCCTGACTGGAGGGCAAAAAGGATGCAGGCTTAGGCCCCTTCCACACTGTCAGTGCCTGTTCGATCAACAGAGGATCCATGCATCCAAGCTGGCATCCCTTTAATCCCCACACCTCTGGATTTGGTGAGGAGGTAATCATAGACATACTGTACAGTGCATGAATAGAGTCTTTAATATTTTCATTATAACAAAAGTAACCATCTTATCAGAACAGCTGTTCACAGTATTTAGATATTAGAAATATTTAGCCCTATTCACTAAGCTGTAAAATGTAATTGTGATTGCAATCATTATGTTTAGCAGTGTGATTATTATTTTCAGCTTTTATTGTGAAATAATAACAAAAGCTATAGCCAATATGGGTCTTTATTGCTTAGTGAATGGAACCTTATAAAAGTATTGCACATTAAATAAAGAACATTCTCTGCAAATAGAGGGAATTATGATATACATCCCCGAAAACAAACCTACTTCCATAAAAGTAATCTGCTTGCTCCAACCATTTTACTGTTCCCTACCCAAAATGGAAACTAATCCCTCAAATACTTTCCTTTTTTCAGGATTGAGCTCCCACTGGTCACTAGGTAATAAAAGCCCAGAGGAAGCCTGGTTCTGGTTCTTGGTTGCCATTTTGGGTAGGGAGTGATGTAGGTGTGTGTGGATTGGTTGGGCAGGAAAGGTTAACTAGATTAACTGGTTTAGATCTACCTAAAAAAATAAAAGTTGACATCAATTATTATTAACATTAGTGTGCTTCCAGTTTTCTATTTCTTCTCTCTGAAGTGCCATGTTTTGCTTGCTGCTTGAATTTTACTTTCTTTCTTACATCAGAGTTTTTAGCGCAGTGTCTATAATGACCTATCTAGAATGAGCAATCCATGCAAATACCACACAACATGTAGCGAATCCAGAGTATCTAAATTTCCAGTTCATCCTTCCACACCCAAAAGGTTGTCCGCTTCTTCTAAATATTGGGATAGGAAGTTCAAAAGGTTTTTTCTTTCCACACCTCAATGTCTTCATGTACCAAGGGACAGCTTTTGGAATGCTTGCTTGAGTTATATTATTATTATTATACAGGATTTATATAGCGCCAATAGTTTGCACAGCGCTTTACAATATAAGGAAGACATTACAGTCACAATACAATTTAAGACAAGATGGTAAGGAGGGCCCTGCCGTGAGGGCTTACAATCTAAAAGGGAGGGGCAAGTGATACATGATTATAATTCAGAAACCTTTATCTTCAGTATGTGATCTTTTATGGTCTTTAGATATTTCTGTTACTGTAGTAGAGTTAATTTGAGGGTATAACAGTGGACTTCCTCTATATCATAGGTGTCAATCTCAAGGCCCACGGGCCAAGACCGGCCCACAATGGAATTATCTTTGGCCCGCATGATAATATTTAATTATCATTAGATCTGGCCAGGTATTATACTGTGTGATATACTGTATAGGCCGCGGTATTATACTGTGTGAACCAGCCCCCGACTTGGAGCATTTTTAAAATTTGAGCCCACTGTGTATTTGAGTTTGACAACTCTGCTCTATATCATTTGTCTGATGTTGCAATACCTGAAGATCTGTGTGTGACATGCACTATAATAAATTCATAAATGCATTTTATGCTTTTGAGGTGTTCACCTTCAATTAGAAAAATAGATTGTTGCATAAACAGTACAGATAGTACAGCGTTCCTTAAAGTGCCATACATCATCAGATTTTTTTTTTTACTTGTTTTTACACTGCAGATTTAAAGAAAAAAAACTCTGGAGTTCTGTTTTAACTGCTGCCCACCCCAGCTACACATACTTCCCCATCACTTTCCTGCCTTCCTGTTCAACCACTATATGGGGAAGCATGCAATGTATTTCACTTCCTCCTATGGGGCAGAGCAGGCCACTTAGACACCCGCCGCTCTTGGTAAGAAAGGAAGAGAGTTCTTAGCCCCCAGTAACTCCACGTCACTAATTCATTAGTTTGTTTTTTTGTTGCATCTGCTGGCCAAACATTGCCACAGTGGAGTGAAAGGAAAGAATCAGTGTATACAGTTAGATGGCACAGGTATAGCTCAGGTCCACTTTAACCCCTTCATGACTGAGGCCCTTTTTTCAATTTTTGCACCCATGTTATATTAAATTATGCCTGTGATCATTATTGTAGTCTTAAGGTGCCCATACACCTTACGATTATCGGCCGATAATCGTACACAATCGACTTTTCGAACGACAATCGTATGTGTGAATAGAGTGCCCGAACCGACATTGCTGTACAATCGTACGACTTTTGACGGTCAAGCATGTTTGAAAACTTTGCTCGATTGTACGATTGTCGTAAGGTTGCTGGCGTTTCCGTCCGTCAAAAGTCGTACGATCTACACTGCGCATGCGCGAACGAAAATATGATAAATCAATTACCGCATTTCGTCCAAGTGCTTTTCGTTAATTACGGCTAAATGAATCTTGCGATCATCGGGGCAGGATGGGGCTGTCGTACGAAAATCGTAGGACTATTCGATCATCGGACGAAAAGTTTCGTCCGATAATCGTAAGGTGTATGGGCACCTTAACAGTCAAGTTGCAATTTGTTGATTTGACTGCAGGTGGTAATGTTAAGTTTAAGTTTGGGTGACAGAGTGTAGGCAGCAATTATTCATTCTAAAAACCCCATAACTATAGTATAAATAGACAGTGGTTACTTTAAATGCAGACTTGTAATTGTAAGGCTTTATATTGTTCAAATTAGGTTTACCGGTTTTATCTTCTTGTTAGCACAAGAAACTACAATGCCTCACTTTGAATAAACAGCATTTTTTTTTGCTTTTAGGATCGAGGAGATATTGATGGGCTGTATCCATCAGAATCATAAGAACATGTCTGACAAGGCTGCAGGCCATTCTTATCACAAGCAGGACAACGCAATGCACGGTAAGACTCTTTGAACCGATTGGCTAGCATGGTCAATTTGCTGCCGTGGCATAAAGCACAAGGGGAACATCCAGAGCCGTTACACTGTGGGCAGTGGTGAAGATTGTCTTCCTCCTACAATATACAAACAAGAAAATACATCAGCAAAAACATTTCAGACTAATATGTAAATATAGGTAAATGTATGTACCTCCTAAGGTCTGTTATTTTTCAAGAAAGAATCCCTCTTTAAGCAATTAGGGGAAGCCTCTTTGTATTTTATCTTTAGTGTTAGGCCTCATTCACACTGCGCTAACTTGGAGCGTACACGCCCGTGCCGCGTGTACGCCCATATCAAGCCATTCCTGGGAGGCACATGTTGTGTGTAGCAGCCTGTTCTTCCTTATGGGAAGACGTGGCCGACCGCTGTTTATACGCACACCCGAACTGCATATCCGTGCGGGTCCAGGTGTCCGAACTCGGACACAGAAAGGATCCATCCTATCTGCGTCCGATTTGGGACACCCGGACCCGCACGGATGTGCGTATGACAGCCTACGGCCGCTTCCTCCCATGTGGAACAACAGGCTGCTATACACAGCACCTGTCCCTCCCGGGAATTGATCAATACGGGCATGTACGCCCCCAGTTAGCGCAGTGTGAATGAGGCCTAAATAATTTTTTTATGGTCTGATTGGGCTAGTCTAGTCTGTAATTTCTATGTTGCTTTAATGAAGTTGATATGTCTAAGCAGCCTTAAAGTGATATTAAAGTCAAAAGGATTTAAAACGATTTCAAATGCTGATTAAATCACTTACAATGAATGCTGAATGTTTAAACGTTTGTCCCCTCAGAATCAGCTGATCTACTGAGCACTGGCCCTGACTTCCTGAGTGACTCCTTTCTCAGGCAGCGTGCTATGCAGTCACCCTTGTGTGTGCTAGTAAGCTGTGTGTGTGTCTCCACAAACACACAGACACAGCAAATCAAGCTACTTCCCTCCCCCCTGGCCCCCTGTTCTCCCTTCCCCAAGCTGGTAGATGAACAGTTGCCGTAGTCTACACTGTCCTTTGTGATCCCATCAGGCATTTTCACAGGTTTGTGTGGGTTCCCCCGTAACCAGGGATCTCTGATTCCTTCTTTGGTAATACCCTATTTGAGAATTCTATTCTCATGCTATCCTGGTCTGGTTCTAGGGGACACACAGTTTTCTTAGGTTGATGGAAGATCCCACTATCAGTTGGTCTCTTAATCTGACCTCATCTGGAGGTTGCCAACTCTTCACCTACAAAAAATTGAGAACTCCCATAGTATCAGACCTATTACCTGCACTGGACAGTGCTGAGTGTATCATTTGTGACCACACTGGGTTTTCTTACTAAACTCAACATACTGACTTCTGGATCTCCACATCTGATGTTCCTCACTTTGAAGAGTGGGGTTCTATACTTCAGTGTGCCTGTCCTTTCTTCCTTGCACAAAAGCATCTATTGCTAACAATTCATAAACTTCCTTAGAGGGTCAACAGGCAGGACAATGTTACACTGTGCAAAAATTCCCCAAGGGGATATTGTAATCCACAGGCCTTTATGGAAGTGGTTACTGGAAGATAGATAATTTCTGTGACCAAGCTGTTGTCTTCTAAGGAAGTCTCCTTACATTTATTTCTACTTCCTATTGTCTATCAGACTAATATTCCTATTGTTAGTACTAGTATTTCTACTCCTAGCAACTCTGTCAGATGCTACCCCCACAGGGCTAAGCCTTATGATCCCTAGAACCACATACTCTGTCATTCTCGTGCCTATAAGATAACATCTGCCTTAATTTGGATCCCCTACTGCCTAAACAGAAGTGTTTAACTATTTCTCCTTAAGCCACTGCCTATTATTTGGTTGGTCTTTTTTCTGGACAAACCTTAAAGCTGGCCATACACCTATAGATTATCTGCAGGTTTTCAGATGGAAAAAGTGCAACAGATTCCTCCATCTGCGCTAAACTGTGTGGATGGAGGAATCTCCCACTGGGCCAAGCTTCATTATCTTGCTAGCCGGCCCCATAGGCTCTCAAAATACCTGAACAATGCCTGCATCCAATCAGATTGTTGACAGCCAGCGGGGTCGACTAGCAAGATACTGAAGCTTGGCCCAGTGGGAGATTCCTCCATCCACATAGTTTAGCATAGATGGAGGAATCTGTGTCACTTTTTCCGTCTGATCATAGAAAATCTGCAGATACTCTATAGGTGTGTGGCCAGCTTAAGCCTTTATCCTACTAAATGTTGCTTTTTGTTCACTGCCTTGGTTGTTGTAACAAGTTGTTTTTTTGTTCTTCTGTTCAGAAAGTTTGTTCCACCTGTTTTCTATATGGTGGATGATTGGTTGTCTGCCACATTGCTAACTGAGGCCCATAATTTCAGGTAGATGTTTTACATTACTGGTGATTACTTGTCCTGGACTGGAGCCCTAGTTTGATCCTTGGTGCTCCCTGGGTCATGGAAATTCCATATTTGGTTGACCGTGTTTCAACCTTAATTTAGGTGATGCTCCTTTTTAAATGCTTTGTGTGAAATTATTTCCACATCTGTTGGATCTCTGAGTGGCTGTAGCCCACCCATTTAGAGTGCTTTTGAACGTCCCATTTGTCTAAGAGTTACTATAGTCCTGTGTCCCTCAATGCATAATAAAGAAAATAAGATTTCTGTACTTCCATAAAATCTGTTTCTTCAAGTCCATTGAGGGACACAGTTCCCACCCCTCGGTGTTCATGGCCTTCTCTACTGCTTGCTTACAAGGCATGACCATTAAAAGCATGGTTTACAGGGGCTGTGTTACAGATTGTACTGGCCACGGGGTGAGGTAATTGCTGGCTACTATGTTAGCAATAGGTTTAAACAGGTGGTCAGTTACAAAATGGGTTAACTCACCTAAACAGGGTGTGGACAGAAGGTTTTAAAAGGAGATGCAGCTAACAGGTCACTGGGAAGAGAGAGACTTTGAAACACAGACCTCCCAGGCTGCTGCACTAGAGGTATAGTGAGACCTGAGAAAATGTTATGTTTGGCAGGTGTTTAAAGGCTTAGCTTGTCACCTTTTATTCAGTGAGGGTAAAACTGTTTTCTATGTGAAGGTAGATCTCTGACAGAGATAGGCTTTTTTGTTTTATGTATCTTTGTTACTAGCTGGCTTGAGAAGACTCAGCGCTGTTTGTGAAAAAGTTGTCACTAACCGAGTACAATAAACTTCCCTGCTAAGGACTTTTGGGCTCCGGTCTCTACAAGTTTATCAGCTTACTGACTGCATTGTGACACAGTGTTACCCAGGAGCAGGCACACACTGTTACAGGCTGGCTTAACTTTTTGTTTGCCAGTGTCCCATCTTTCTGAAAGCAGAAGTATAACCCATTTGCCTAAAGCTGGCCATAAACCTATAGATTATCTGCATATTTTCTATGGTCATATGCAACAGATTCCTCAATCTAGAGCTGCAGCTAACGATTATTTTCAAAGTCGATTAGTTAGCCGATTATTAAGTTTGATCGGATAAAAAATAAAATACATTTAAAAAAATGGCTCCAGTGATGGGACTACTAGTTTGTATTGAGATTGTAGTCCATTACAGGAGCAAGCTTAAAGCAGTGGAAGTAAAAAAGAAAAAAAAGTGTGGTGTGCAATATAGTGAAATGAAAAGTGTGAAATTATAGAGCAATGAATGCAGAATGGCACCGACTATAGAGGACTACAAAACCCAGCAATAGTACATTATAGCTGGTGGTATTCTGCATTGTGCTGTATAATGTACTATTGCTGGGTTTTGTAGTCCTCTATAGCTAGTGGTATTCGGCATTGCACCACTGTATAATGTATTATTGCTGGGATTTGTAGTCCTCTATACAGCGTAATGCAGAATACCACCAGCTATATAGGAATACAACAAATCCCAGCAATCCATTATACATACAGTGTATAATGTATTGCTGGGATTTGTATTCCTATGTATAATATACAGCACAATGTACCATCAGCTATAGTGGAATACAAATCCCAGCAATACATTATAGAGCACCATGCAAGGGGGGAGTGCAGGCTTACCTGAGCAGTCTTCCAGCAACTTGCTTCTGAGATTGGGCCTGTCTATCGGCGGCTGTCATCCCCCCGAACCTGCTCCTCCTTACTTCTTATCTCCGCGTCCCTGTGCCAATCATGGATGTGGGCGGGCAGGGAGGAGGTGCGGTGTGGATGCGGGCAGGTGGGTCTGGCAGCGGCGAGCAGGAGGTGCGCCGTGAACAGGGCCAACTAATCAGAAGCCGATTAATCAATGATTGAAAAAGTTGACAACTTTTTCAATAATCGATTATGTCGATTAGTTGTTGCAGCCCTACCTCAATCTACGCTAAACTGTGTGGATGGAAGAATCTCCATCTGGGCCGAGCTTCAGTATCTAGCTAGTTGACCTCGCAGGCTGTCAAAATACCTGAACAATCTGATTGGATGCAGGTACTTTGAGAGCCAGTGGGGCCGACTGGCAAGATACCGAAGCTTGGCCCAGTGAGAGATTCCTCCATCCACACAGTTTAGTGTAGATGGAGATATCTGTTGCACTTTTTCCATCTGACCATAGAAAATCTGCAGATGATAATCCTATAGGTGTATGGCCAGCTTTAGACTTACTAAAGTCCTGTGTACCTCAATCAACTCAAAGAAAAAAAAAAAAGATTTCATGGTAAGTACAAAGATCTTGCTTTTAACAGCCTATTTGCCAGTCATCACAGTAGATTCTTTTAGATGCACAATATTTGTAACTATGTGTCTGTTTTTCTCAGATTGCTTTTATCTGTGAAGTAAATATTGTTAGGTGAATACATATAGCTTTAGATATGGGAAACCTAATATTAATCATGCCACAGGGAGCTGTTTTCAGTATGATCCTGCTGCTTAATCATCTAGGTTGCCCTGGCTTATGAGGTCAGAAATGGATTACACCTGCTGGTGATTTCATATTACATTAAAGCTTATTTCTATCTGCCTCCTCACAAACCTGGACAAAGGCCTCGTTCCAATAAACACATGCCCAATTTAATGCTCAATGATAGAGTCAATTTGGAATGTGGCAGATTTGGATCAATATCTAAATTGTTTATGGTTATGTGCTGCCTAGCAGTAAAACTTACCTTCATTTAGATCACTTTAAAAAATTCTGTTCTTTGGTAATAGGCAGAACTCTTCATTTACCATTTTAGCCAGTTTGTGTTTGAATGCTTTCCTTGTTATCCAACCATAAAAATAGTTGTTTTAACTACATATTTGAAGCTTTTATAAAAAAAAGTTTGTGCAAGAACTCAATTTGAAGTACACCTGATAGGACCAATTAGCACAAGTCTAAGGCGTTACAGGAGACTTGTATTGCACTGTCCTCATCCCATAATACATGAATGATGCAGAAAGTGGGCAACAACCACTTTTCAAATTACTTTGAAAGATGAGAAAGAATGGAAGAGTAACCATTTGCCAGTTGTCTGTTCATGACTTTTTGTATTCATGAAAGATTTCCTCCAACCTCCTTCAGTGTGCTTAGTTAGCAGATGCATCCATACTTAACTAGTCGAAAGTGCAGGATTGCAGAACCAACATGGATACTGATATATAATTACATTTAATAATATTTAAAAATCTAAGTATTATACCTTTGTACAATTGTTGTTAAATAAAATTCCCCCAACCCTATCCAGCCAGCCCTGCTCAGAGCCACACAGCTTTTCTTCCAAAAATGCCCACCTTGTACTGTGCATGCGTGCCATGGTCCTATTTATTCCTATATGAATGCCATATACATGGTGCCTTCCTGCAGAATGGCTGTAGCATAACAACAAGTAGGGCCGTGGTATGCATGTTCTTTACAAAGCAGAGAAAAGAGTAGAGCTTCTCAGGGCTGGAGGTAAGTATTTATCCTAATGGGATGTTGTCAGGGATATTGGTAGACCTTATTTAAGAACATTTGTACAAAATACAGTAGTTCTTCAAATACTTCTTGTTTTTAAAAAAAAAACAGGATACATGTAAAAATGTAGCTATCTGAGAGATAGTTACATAGCTTTTGAGGTTGAATAAAGACACAGGTCCTTCATCATCATTCTGGGTATTGAAACACAGACCTGAATCTCATAAATATAAAATATAGGTTAACTCAGGAACATTACCTAATAATTTAAAGGGGAAGAGGTTGAAGCAATGTCTTTAAAAATATATATTGTAGCATCTCACCCGAGTATCTTGTGACTTAATCCTGGGAATTTCATATTCCTCCGCTGATGTATCGCACAAGTCCCTCTCAACTGCTCGTCCTTGTTTAGGTGACCATTTTGGATTGTCAGATGCCTCTTTATTTATCACTGGGGTTCTTATAATCTTTAAATTACTGGTGTAAATTATGATCTTGCCAAAATCTATAACATCAGAGGTCTAAAAAGCAAAAAAAAGAAAAGAAAATGTTATTAAAATTCAAGGTTTTTTTTTTCACCCAACATGCTCATCTATTGAGTGCATGTTCACTTCATTACTGCCTAAGAGGTATTATAAAAATGTATTTATTACTGCTCATTTTTGCTTTATTAGAATAGATAAATAATACATTAGACATTTTTTACAATGCATTTGATCCCTTGCGAAACAGATGCTGTTCTCCAGATGAGATTGTTCTTACAGCAAAGCAGTCTTTTCTGGTATGTTGCCATCCAGAAAGCCAATCGGCTGCCATCTGTTAGGATCCAGAGCGCCTCCAGGTGGCGCTGGAGCTAAGCCCTGCAGTTCCTGTGCTCACCTGCAGGTGTCTTCAGGCAGCCGGGAACTATTAGGTACCAGACCACCACTGGGTGGTGCTGGAACCTGCAGCTCCAGTGCTCACCTGCGGGTGTCTCCCAGCTGCCAGCACTTAGCCATCACCTGGTGCTTCCTGGGAGGGTATTTGAACCCTCCCTGCAGTCAGGATGAGGGCTCAGTATACTGGTATTGTTCCCTGTGAATCCTGAGTCTTGAGTCCTGTTACCTGCTTCTGTTCCGGAGTCCTGATACCTGTTTATGTTTCCGAATCCTGTTACCTGTTTGTTTCCGAGTCCTGTTACCTTCTTATGTTCCTGAGTCCTATTGCCCTGCTCCCCAGGTTGTCATGCCCTGTTATACCCTGTGAGGGTATTCTGTGGTTTGTTCCTAGTTTTTGGTTGTGATTACTTATTTGTGGTTTATGTCCTGTTTTGCTCCTTATAAATAAAATATATATATATATATAGCTCAATTTGCCTTGTCTGGTGTGGTCATACATGTTTGGTCTGCCTGTGTGGGTACCTGCACATGGTGTGGGGACACCTGTGTCGGGAACCGTGACACCATCACTGTTTGCAGAAAGATTTTCCATCCGACATCTTCGATTTTGCGATCAAAAGATGCTGGACGAAAGGGTGATGACAGGGCCACCCACTGTGTGAATTCGTACAGTGCATAGCGGGCTTTAGTGGAGACGCAAACAACATTTGAAACCTCTTAAACCTTTTCATTTCTGCCAATTATCCTGGGTACATTTCCAGAGAACTGGTAGGAGAATTGACAGGGGAACTGAATAATCTAGACCTTAGATCATAACCAATTACATCAGATCACAAACCAGAACCATTAAGCGGGCACTATTCAAGTACATTCAAGTACCTTAACTATTACAATAATGTATCTTATTTGTGTATCACTCGGCTGTAGATCCTCAAATCATCTCTGAATTGGTGCTGACACTGTGCTTCCTTCTGGAGGGGGGCCACGTCTGTTCCCCATGGTCCCTGTGTGTGTTGTAAAGTAGTCACCGCTCCAAGCTCACTCCCGGGATGGACTACAATCTCCATACAAATTAGCAAACTGAATGTGAGATTGCAGTCCATCACAGGAGTGAGCTTGGAGCGGTGGCTACGTTACAACGCACACAGGGACCATGGGGAACAAAAGTAGCCACCCACCAGAAGGAAGGAGAGTGTCAGAGATGATTGGAGGATCTACAGCCGAGTGATACACAAAGAAGATACATTATTGTTAATAGTTAAGGTACTTGAATGTAAGTTGGTTTCAATTTGCAATAGCCAATAGCAATCTAGCTATTGCCCCCTCCCTCTGCTGCTGTCAGTCAGCAGACGAGGACCTGATGGAGAACTTCAGGTCCACCTCTGCTGATTGACAGCAGCAGTGGGCATGTGCAATAGCTAGTCTGCCATTAGCTATTGCAAACTGAATAGGCCAGTAGCAATCTAGCTATTCATTCCTATGCCGTTTTTTTTTATTTTTTTAAAAGACGGCGATGTGGAGAAATAAACAGATAGCAGGGAAAGGTTTACTCTGCTAAATAAAGCAGAGTAAACTTTTCCAGGAGAAAATGTTTCTCTCCTGGGTATCAGGGAGCCGCTATCGTATAGCGGGAGACTCCCGAGAAACATCCGGGAGAGTTGAGATGTCTGCTATTGCCATATGAAATGCTTCCCCAGCTGTAAAACACTGTCACAAACACCTTCATTGTTCCAGTTTAACCTCCTGTGAACTTGCTGCTACCTACACCTCTACATAACCCTCCCAACCACTCCTTACATCTCCACTGCCTCCAGTTTATTTATAATCTTACCTCCTTGCCTTAACATTCTACAGCCCTTCTCTGCTACAGTACCACCTCTTCTAGTGGTGGACCCAAGTAACAAATGACCCAGCAATACTTTAAACAGTAATAGCATTAATGTATAAAGTTCTGCTGGTATTTGTAGTCCTCTATAGAGGTTGCCATTCTGCATTGCTGCAATGCAGAATGGCACCTGCTATAGAGGACTACAAATACCAGCAGTATTTTATACAGAGGCCCCAGGCTGCCGCATCACATACCAGGCTGCCTGCAGCTCCTCCGGCTCCTTTCTCAATATCCGGCGGCCGGTGTTTACCGACGGTCCCCCCATCTCTGCACTGGCAGTAGCGTGCGTGGGACACTGGGGCCCCCCAACACTCCGCACCTACTTCTCGACGGCCCGCAGTGGTGTAACGGGCACCCGGGGCAGAACTGCCATCAAGCAGTAGATATAGGCAAAACGTTTTTAAAAAACGCTTTAACAGTGCTTAACACTTACCTTGTTTTGGCTGCGCGCTCCTGTCCGAGAAAACGAGACTGATCCGGCCGCCGCAAAGCATCTTGGTGCGGGCACATGCGCAGTTCGGATTCTCGGCTGGGAGACGAGCAGAGACACAAGGTAAGTCTATGGACGCGTGCACCCGCATGCAGACACCGCGGGATCAGAAGTGCCTGCTAGCAGAGAGGAGTCAGCGCTGGATCGGAGAGCCGCCGCACCGCTGGAGGGACAGATGAAAACATGGGGCAAGAAGAAGAAGATGCGATTAAGAGACATCATTTAAGGTAAGTGCTTTCCATAACATGGGGGGAGGGGGGGAAAATGTATCCTTTAATGTCACTTTAATATGAAAAAGTTTATTTGAAAAAAATCAAACATCAAAAAAGGGAATCATCAGATTGCATCTACCCATTAAAAACCTTTGACAACGTTGTCTAAAAAACCAAAACCATTCACACTCCCACTCATACAGACGGCCCCTGCACACTTGCAACATAATGGAAAATCACTGTTGCTGGATCTATCACTGACTCTGTGTAGGGTTAATGAGGACAGCAGAACGCCCACGGATGCCAATCTCTGTCCTATTTAACCTAAAATGTCATTCATTAGACAAATGGAAATTCCTGACTTAGTTGTACTGATCCCCTTCCTCCAGGTAGAGTATAGTACATCCAAAAGTCTTCAGCGATATCCACCAGTGTTGGTCTCCTCAGAGTGCGAGTAATGACACCAGTGGATATCGCTGAAGACTTTTGGATGTACTATACTCTACCTAGAGGAAGGGGAAAGGTACAACTAAGTCAGGAATTTCCATTTGTCTAAGGAATTACATTTTAGGTTAAATAGGACAGAGATTGGTGACCGTGGACTAGAGCTGCAGCTAACGATTATTTTCAAAATCGATTAATGTCGATTAGTTGTTGCAGCCCTACCGTGGACTTTCTGCTGTCCTCATTAAGGGTCCAGTCACACCATCAAGAATGCGTTCCAGTGCGTTCGGCCTCTAGAACACACTGGCGGTGCATTGAACTCAATGGCCCCGCAGCCCCGATGTGCGATCCCTGGCAACCGAATGCGTGGCACATTAGTGCCTGCGTTCCGATCCAATGCGATCTGCCAAAAATGCTGCAAGCATGCCCCCTCCCGCCCCAAAACAAAGTGAGCCGGCCGGGTTGCCTTCCTGTGCGTTCCAGAGGCTGAACGCACTGGAACGCACTCTTGATGGTGTGATAGGGCCCTCACCCTCTATACTCTCCATGACCTCCTCAGAGTCAGTGATAGATCCAGCAACAGTGATTTTCCATTATTTGGGAAGTGTGCGGGGCTGTCTGTATGTGTGGGATTGTGAATGGTTGTGTCAAAGGTTTTTAATGGGAAGATGGAATACGAACTTTCACTTTTTTGATGTTTGATTTTTTTCTATTAAACTTTTCCATATTAAAATCACTAGGGCCTCCTTCACACCAGATGCAGTGCGTTTCGGCCCGATTCTGGCCAGAACGCACTGCCTCGCATTGCGGCCGGCTCACTTTTTTGTGGGGCAGCAGGGGGTGTGGTGGGCCATTGAAGTGAATGGCACCGTAGCCACGCCCTCTGGCCACAATGTGAACGGGATGGCAAGGCACATTATGCCTGTGGTCAAAATGCTGCAATTACTATTCTGCTCGCACCGGACCGCAGGCATAATGTGCCTTGCGATTCCGTGCGGCTGATCGCATTGTAGCCGTAGGTCGTGGCTACGGTGCCATTCACTTCAATGGCCCACCACACCCCCTGCTGCCCCACAAAAAAGTGAGCCGGCCGCAATGCGAGGCAGTGCGTTCTGGCCAGAATCGGGCCGGAACGCACTGCATCTGGGGTGACTGAGCCCTAAAGACGTTTGGTCCCGGTCCTCTTCAGTTGAAACCTGCTCAACTAAATGGTGTTCTTGTAATAGAACACAGAATAGTTGACACTTTCAAGTTCAGCTATTCTGTGTTCTGGAATGGCAGATAGTCTCTCAGCCGTCTGACACTGTCCTCCTGGCTGGTGTCAGTTTACATGGTCAGAGGAAGCAGCACGGGGAGATCGAGAAAAAAAAAACATTAAATCACTCACCTTGTCACCGACATGCTGATCTCCGTCTCTCTCTGCACTGTGAAGCTGCTGCACGCTGGGTCCTCACGCCTGAGGCCCCCAAGGCAGCCCCGTTATTGCCTGTCAGGGCAGCCCATTATTGCCGGTAAATCTTTAATCCGCCCGCTTGTCACTGTGTCCCCGTCTGTGTCCCGCGGCTACCGCTATCAGTCTGCCCACTGCGCGGGGGGGGGGCC